TGGCCAACGGCCCATGTTTTCTTCCTTTCACTGATAAACAAACGTAATGAATTTGAATAAGAGAACATTAACAGCTCGCATTCTCTGGATTTGAATTGTTATCACGCAAGCACTGTTCCCCAACTTCAACCTCGTCCCTGAACCTCTTTGGTTTACAAAATGGCAGCGATCTCTCCGTGACCGGCCACCATTGTGAAACCCACAAAGCCCCCGAGCAATGTGAGGTTAACTCATTGAGTTCCAGTCGACTACTCGTTTGACGTCACTAGGATTTATTCATTAGCATTTTTTAACCAAGGGATCACGTCACGTAGAAGACTTCACACGTAATTCGCTAATGTTGGTGATTCTTCATTGTCGTTTAATGAAATAACCCCATATCAGTGACAGCTTGCCTTCTTAACTTGATTTAAAAAAATCGAAGCGCAAACCCGACACTTCTGCTAAAAAGGTTTCCTAGACGTTAACACTTTCAAGTACACAGTTCTGTCAGTCATTTAATTAAAAGCGGTTTAAGACAAATGTTGTGATAAATATTGATCGTGACTAAGTGATACCTCAAGATCTTTAGTTTTCAGTAGGAAGAGGTGCCAAAATCAACACGAACTTCAATATGGATAGATATTTTTCAGCTTTTCAAAATTGTTTACATCTACTTTCCGTGACAACCAGCTAACTGTTGTTTCTTTGTCCACGCTGAGAAAGGCGAATTTAAATGATCAGTGTTATTACGACCTCATTTTGCATAATCACTGAAAACACCGAACAATAAGTCAAATACCCAATCAATAGCCACTGTTAATTCATGCTTGAAAACTGAAAATCACATCAGCAAAACTGCATGACAGATTACTTCGCTCAGTTGACCCATGTAGTTGAAAACCATCAACTGACGGTCGTTTTATTTCAAGTGTAATACAGTCTGTGTCAGGTTCATTTGAAACGTGCTACTCTCAAGCGGAAATGGTCGTGAAAAGCAAAGTGCCGGACGTTCACATTCCTGAAGATCTTTCGTGGCCACAGTTTGTATTTCAAAACTTTGAAAACTACGGAGACAAGACGGCCATTGTGAGTACAGTCTATCAGTTAAACGGGATTAAATTTTAGTCTGTCATTTGCAAGGTCTTGTTAAGTGAAAAGTCACGTTTAACTTCTAGGACTCGTGAACGATGCAGTATGTAAACAGATTGTTTCATGGGAAGTAAAATCAATTGTTATGATTTTATGGTCAACTTTGATCGGCACATTAAGGTGTTTTGAATTGGTCATCAAACAATCGTTGAATTAATTCTCACAAAGTCAAACGAAATGGAAGAAAATCGATTCCTCGGTAAGGATTAATCATAGTCGGTAAAGCAATTCATGTGCGTGTTTATATTTGTAAAAAGCGTTGTTAATCTTCTACGATTAACTCTAGACGCAGTGAAGGTGTTTGTTTTGTTTCTTGTGCTCTGGGTCTCTAACTCTGTTTCTCTGACGGATTCCAAATGTATCATTTGCAGTCCTTCGTACGGAAGAACAAGAAATCCCCCATTCTCATAACCAAAAAAATTATATACACCTTAAATGTCATTTCTAACGGGTCTGACATAGGAAATCGACTGTTTTTAAACTCTATCAACTTCATGCACACGCAATATTACAGCAAAAAGCGTGCAGAATAAATTCAAAGTTCACAGAAAACCAATTAGGACCTGCACCATAAAATCGTCTTCTGCATTTAACTAAGTAGTAACTAAAATGCACTTAAAATAACTTGCAGCAACGTTTGTGTTCAATTAATTGCTACTTGTCTTACTGCTGTTTGTATCACTTTAGATCTTTTTTGTTGCTATGGCAATGTTATTTTGACCAAGAAAGTCCCGCTGTTAACAGCGGTGTATTTCGATTGTTAATGTATCGCTATTTTATATTATTTGATGTTCTATATTTTAATTAGTTTATTACAGATAGATAGTCCTTGGGTAATTGTTTACTAATATGATATCATGAAAACCACCTTATTGACCAAATGGATTCCCTGCATAAACGCTTCCTTCATCGACTCAGAATTTGGCATATTACATGACAGAGTAACACGAACACAATGATCCTATCGTGGGTGGTGTAAAGCGCTTATTTTTCTTTTAAAGACAAAGATTTCTTAACAACGGTTTTATGTAGTGTGTACTCTACTCCTCAAGAAAACAGTAAGCTCAATCAACTTCTAGTATGTATCTCTTCGAAGCAGCTCATACGTAGAATCACGTAGCCCTTTAGGATAAAAAAAACTCAACGGGTTCTGACAGGCGTGGTCGAGAAAGCAAGTTTGTTTTCAAAAATGCGGCCATGTATCATGAGATAGTTTGGGCAGAATTTCAAGGTACATTGTACAGTTTATTCTGTTTCTTGTTTTCTTCAGGTCGACGGACCATCAGGCCGTTCGTACACTTTCCAGCAGCTAATCCAGTTGACCAGAAAATGCGGGTCGGCCCTTACAAAGAAAGGCTTCAAGAAGGGCGACGTTTTCGCCATCATGCTCCCAAACATGCCAGAGTTTCCGTTAATTTACTACAGTACTCTTTTAATAGGAGGGATCGTAACGACACTAAATCCATTGTATACAGTGGACGAAATCTCACACCAGCTCCGTGATGCGGGAGCTACTTCTATCATAACAATTCCACTGTTTGCAGACAAAGCCAAGCAGGGCGCTTCGAATGTTGGAATTAATACAGTGTACGTTGTCGGAGAGGCCGAAAATTGTGAGTCACTTTCGTCTTTGCTCGAAGACGAAGGCGAAGATTTTCCGGAAAATGTCGAGATCAACGCGAGGGAGGACGTTGCCTGCTTACCATATTCGAGCGGGACTACAGGTCCTCCAAAAGGAGTAATGCTTACTCATTATAATCTGATTGCAGAGGCTTCGATAGTAACTCATGATAGTTTCATGTTAAACAACGACGAGCCAGTCGTACTTGGCCTGTTACCATTTTTCCACATTTTTGGACAAATTATCTCGATGTCTTGTGCCTTGTTTAAAGGTGGGAAGGTTGTGTGTGTGCCAAAGTTTGAACCAGAGTCCTTCCTCAAGGTCATTCAAGACTATAAGGTTTGCGTCTTACCTTCCTTCCTTTCGTTTATCCTCACTAACTTAGCTCTTTTTCCTTGCTATTTACCAGTCCCCCTGCTTGTCTCTCTCTAAGTCAAGAATGGGAAACGCGGTTGCCTAAGAGTTAATGTGCACGACTCCAGGTCACAAGGTCTAGGTTCTAGCTCTGGTCGGATCATTATGTTGTGTTCTTCGGTAAGACACAGTGCCTCCACCCAGGAGTACAAATGGTTACCGGCTAAATACCACCTGAAGAAATGCCGATTGGTGAAAAATGGTGGTGGTGGTGGGGGGGTTTGACCCTCAGAGGACCAGCATTCCCTTCAGGGGTAGTAGCTCTGCTGGCATTCGTTTTATGTCACAATATCCCGCATAGCCTCGGCAGTGTGGATCATTTGGCCACAGCACTGAGTTTACCTTCTAAATCAATGTTTCGTTGGCTAGGTTTCCCATGCAGCTGTTGTACCGTCAATTGTGCTATTCTTGGCTAAGAGTCCACTTGTCGAGCAATATGACTTGTCCAGTTTGAAGGATTTGACATCTGGGGCAGCACCTCTTGGAGGCGAATTAATGAATGCGCTGAAGGAGCGTATTCCATCAATGGAATGGTGCCGGCAAGGTGGGTAATACAGGAATATTTGAGGAAACATTGATTCTAGAGGCAGAAGTCTCATTCGATACAAGACAGAATCCTTTCATCCCCTCTTCTCTTCGCTTACATCCACAGTGCCTTCATGAGCTTACGTCACAGTGAAATAGGAAAGAAAGAGAGAATAAGCATAAAATTACTTAAGGCAAATTCGTAGCCAAGAAGTTAATTACATCTGTTTGACACAAGTTTATAATTTTTTTCTTGATTAGGTTTCGGCATGACGGAGTTGAGTCCTACATCTCACGTGACACCATTTGATAAGATTAAAAATGGATCTGCGGGAATGCTGCTACCAAATCTTGAGTGCAAGGTAAGTGCAGCTCCGAAAAAGGCTAAAAAAAAGCTCTTAATGAATAATATTCTTTTCAGCGTTTTTTTCTAATGCCTGTTCACCACTTTAACTTACAGACTTAATAAAAATCCAATGTTATCATTTGAAACCCTCTTTTAACCACGAGAGAGGTCTTTTTTTTTTCATAGTTGTAAGTCATATTTGTCCAACTTTTATTTTAAAAAAATTCCCTTCATATTTAAACCATGAAGCTAAGGAAACATGAACAGTTCTGCTTTCGTTTGTATCTGCAATTCACAAATCTGGTCACAACAATATGTACAGCACTCTGACTTTTCGTTGCAAAGGACATCAGTCCATAAAATGATATTTTAATTTTCTCTCCAGGTTGTTGACATTGAGAATGGTGATGAGCTGGGTCCCAATAAGGAAGGCGAGATTTGTGTCAAAGGACCCACTGTTATGAAAGGTATATCCCAAATTAAACTGATTTTGGAAACTACTCCTAATGCCAAATCTACATCAAATTTTAAATGCTATCCTTTTAATTTGAAGAAGGAATTTGAAGAAGGAATTTGAAGGTGATTTCTACATGGTTTAAAGTAACGATTTCTAAAAGAAATGCTGTTAAAAGGTATTTTCAAAGAGAAATCTATCACATTATTTCATTCTAAGCACATTTAAGTTCATCAGTGAGAATTATATGGCGTAAGGACCTATCTACTAAGATTATTTGTCTGATTATGACTCACGACCAGTTTAAAGCAAGGTTTACAACGCTGTGTCTCAGTAACCCCAACTCTCTGCAGGGTACCTTAACAATCCAGAAGCCACCGCGCAGACAATTGATGCAGATGGCTGGTTGCACACGGGGGACATCGGCTATTACGATGGCGATGAACATTTCTTTATTGTCGATAGACTCAAGGAACTTATCAAATTCAAAGGATTTCAGGTGACTTACATTTTAATTTGCTTGTTGTCTTGATTTTTTTTCTTGCACGAGGCTCTCAGTAGTCCCAAAGTCAAATCGGGTTTGTTTTCCTCTTTTTGCACCAAAGCGGTCAGCAGGGGACTGGTTCTGATAAATTTTCTTCAACTTACTTTATTTCCGTTTAGTGACAGATGAGTTTGTCCTGATCCTGTAGCCATCCACTCACCGCCCCCGCCCCCCCCCCTCCCTTCCTCTCTATCTCCTCAACATAAATGACTCAGTTTTCTTGTTCATTCTATTCCTAATTCCCAGGTTCCTCCAGCCGAGCTCGAGTCTCTCCTCATCTCTAATTCAGCCATAGAGGATGCTGCAGTAATCGGGGTCCCAGATGAAAGGGCAGGTGAACTTCCAAAAGCCTTCGTCGTAAAGAAGACCAACGATAGGATCACTGAAGAACAAATAATAAAATTCATTGAAGAGCGAGTGGCACCGCATAAGACATTAAAAGGCGGTGTGGAATTCATCGATAAAATACCAAGAAGTTTGAGCGGCAAAATACTACGAAGAGAGCTTAAGGCGAGAGTTATGACAAGACTAACTACAGTTACTGAAAATAAAAACAACGAAGAAGAAAAAAACGTCATCCGAAGTAAAAATCCCGATGTAGAGATTCCAGACAATCTGTCTTGGAATGAATATATTTTTCAAGACTTTGATGAGTACGCGGACAGGGAAGCCATCGTAAGTCTTCTATCATTTATCATTATTTTCCTTTTTACATATAGCCTCTGAACAGGCCCTAGTTTTTTAATTCTTCAGTACGTGCGTTTCCTCGACCGCGGGAAATTATGAGGCTTTGAGCTGCATGAACCGACAAGAGGTTTAGTGCCAGACCCCAGGCAAACCTCTCTACGACTTGTTTCAAATCTTCCTGCGGGCAGAGAAACGCGCGTCCTGCAGCGCTAAAACAAATAAAATTTTACTTGATTTCTAGCCAGTCGTAAAGAGGGGGAAAAGTCTGAATAGGTGTGGATTAAGATCATTCCTCGTTTAAATTCAAAATCCTCGCTAACTAACTTATTTAAATTTCTTAAAAGTGCTCCTCCGAAAAAAAAAAAAACACGCGTAAAATTATCTGTTCATACCTTTTCTTCTCTTTGCAGCATTACAAAACAATATAGAGGTAAACATTATCGTAGGCGAAAAAAAATTGGCTCATGAAGAAACTTTGTTCAAATACGTTGAGCAGTTTTGTTGTGAAAAGATTTACTCCTGCTTGGTTGTAGTAACGAGAGAAAATGTCATGTCACGCGAAGCCTTCGTGTACGTTGGAGTAATTTGTCACAGAATCTTTGATAATACGACTTAGTTATCTATTTCCTAAGAGAGACTTGTAATATTGAATAAATAAGTCAATAATTGAAATATTTCTTCTATTGACAGAGAGATTCCATATCTGACCGCTCATACTCATATCGCCAAATAAAGGATTTGAGCAGAACAATTTCATCTGCTCTAAACAAGCGAGGATTTAAAAAAGGAGACGTGTTTGCCATGTTTTTACCAAATCTGCCCGAGTTTCCCATAATTTACTTCGGTGTGCTTAAGGCAGGGGGTGTGGTCACTGCAGCAAATCCACTCTTCACAACCGAAGAACTTGCCAAACAATTAAAACTGGCTGATGCCAAATGGATACTTACCGTACCCCAGTTGGTTCATCGGGCAAAAGAAGCCATGCAGGATCTGGGACGAGAGAACGTGTTCGTCATCGGTGACGTCGACGGATGTGAGTCGCTTTCAGTCCTCCTCCAAGATGACGGTTCTAGCGTTCCTGACGTCACAGTAAACCCTAAAGAAGACATAGCGGTTCTTCCCTTTTCAAGCGGGACCACGGGTCAACCCAAGGGGGTTATGCTCACTCACTACAATCTCGTCTCATGCGGAAGTATCATGCGAACAGAAGACTTTCTAAGCTTCAGCGAGACAACCGTTCTTTTAGCATTTCTTCCGTTTTTTCATGTCTACGGAATGGTGGCTATAATGTCAATGGGTCTTCATTGTGGAAGCACCATCATAACTATGTCACGATTTGAGCGGGATAAGTTTTTACACGCACTAGAGAACTATGAGGTTAGTTATAAAGTAACGCCACAAAAATTTAGATTTGTCTCCCGCCGTCGGTCTAAATCGTCATCATTCTTAGTCTTCTTGATTTTTTATCGCTTTTTTTGATGTGAATATGATCCATAACATGTAATTTAGAGGCGTTTTACCGTGCCTTTCTCCATTTTCCAGGTGACCCATCTTCCCGCGGTACCCCCTGTGGTTTTCTTATTAGCTAAGCACCCCTCCGTTGATAACTTTGACTTGTCATATCTGACTGAAGTCACAAATGGAGCCGCTCCCTTGGGCAAACAAGTTTCAAAAGCTCTAATGGACAGACTTCCGCTCCTCAGCAGCGTGCGACAAGGTAAGTGTATTCTGATAATGGCAATGGTAATTGTAATGGCAGTTTTTCTGACTTTCAATGGAATCGAAAAATGCGTTGTGGACAGGTTTTCAGCTGAGATGGATGAACTCGAGCAAGTTATGAGTGCTAACTGAAAATGGAGGGAAATATGATTAATAGGCTTAAATGTAGAACTATTTTTCCCTCTTTCCTGACCGTTTAAGTCATAATCTCTCCTTGTAACTCTTAGGAGAATTGATGATAAATGTGTATGCAGTATTTATGGCGAAAAGGTGTCTTTAAGAATTTTTTTGTGGGGGGGAGGGAGCTTTCATGAGTTCTCTACATCTCTAGGAAAGTGCATCCAAAATTCAGCCAGTATCTGAAATAGTAAGATACTTAACGATATTTCGCGGGAATATTTAGAAAATGAACTCTTTAATTGAACAGCACTAATTCAAGTATGTTAAAATTTGAATTATGAAAATTATTTTCCCATTATTCCCCCCGTTAGGTTATGGAATGACCGAGCTAAGCCCGGTATGCCACATGACTCCTGCAGAAAACAACAAACACGGTTCTGTGGGGTGCATACTGCCAAACTTACGGTGCAAGGTAAGATATCATGTGAACATAGCTGATTCCATGAATTAATTTAATTTGTATCCTCTAACTCGTACCCAACTCCCCTTTGAACACGGTGATACAGCGGCTAGCTTGTTGGACTCTGGCTCGAGGGGCCTGGGTTCGAGCACTGGCTGGTTCGTTTCGTTTTGTTCTTGGGCAAGGCGTAGGCAAGGTATTTAAAAATTCCCACAAGTCCTCCCTCGATCCAAGAGTTATCTTATTCTCGTCCGTAGGTGGTTGACGTGGAGACTGGGGAGGCTCTAGGTCCTGGTCGTGATGGCGAAATTTGTGTCCAAGGACCAACAGTCATGAAAGGTTAGAACAGACAACCTCTATAGTGAAAAAGAAATTTCGCAAGTAAAGAAACCTAAGTAAATTTTTGTGTCTTCCTGCCAATTGATCTGAAGAGGACTCACCAATACCGTGGCCGTACACTAAGTTAATACGTGCATAGCGGCAATATCGTCTCACGAAGAGATACAGTTATTAATAACTAATGAATTCTTTATTATTTATTAACTAACCCTCTTATCAACAGGATATCTCAACAATCCAGAGGCAACTACACAGACAATTGATAATGATGGCTGGCTTCACACAGGAGACATTGGACATTATGACGAGGATGAACATTTTTTTATTGTTGACAGAGTTAAGGAGTTAATAAAATACAAAGGATATCAGGTATGGAAACGTAAAATGATTGACCACCTGACTGAATCACTGACGGACTAATTGCCTTTTGCATTAGTAATAATTCTTCGGTTTTTGTGATTTCAATATCCGGCTCTTTCCAGGTCCCCCCGGCTGAACTTGAAGCCCTCCTTATTTCACATCCTGCCATAGAGGATGCAGCAGTCATTGGAGTTCCGGATGCAGAGGAAGGCGAGCTGCCAATGGCCTTTGTGGTGCGTAAAGCTGATGTCACACTCACTGAAAAGGATGTCCATGTATTTGTTGATGAAAATGTAGCAGCTTACAAAAAACTGAGAGGCGGCGTGGAGTTTATAGATGAGATTCCAAAGTCATTGAGCGGCAAAATTCTTCGTCGAGAACTGAAAGACAGACTGAAAAAACTGTCCAAAGTCGAGAGCCCTTCGGGTGCGAGGAAAAGAAGTTTTAAAAGAAGCGTGCGACAAAACGCAGACAAGAAAGTAACGAACGGGAACTCGGAAGGAGTAGCTAAAACTGCCGTGGGTGTGGCTCCAAAATCCAGCTGCTGTTTGATTATTTAACATAACTAAGCTGATCGAGATCTAAATTATCCTTAATCTCTTTCTTACAATTAGCGCTCTTTTGAGTGTGGTTATGGCAATTAAAATTATTTCCCTTCCCCCGTGAATAGAACTTCAAATTTCTAAAAAGCCCTCCTCTCTAATAAACGGCGCGGGCTTGAAAGAATGTTTATGGTACAGACAATTCACTCAACACGGATGACTACATCGAGGATAGTCGAGCTAATTCAAGATAACCTTTTCATGTCAACATAGGGCATAAACATTTGTACAAAATACACACGAAAAAAATTTTTAATTGACGAAACAATTCACCAAGAACGCGCAAAATATCCTTCAGTAGCCGCAATGAACATTAGGGTTATCTATTCAAATTTTCTACATATGGCAATATTATGAAAAAATGTATAGCAATAATATACAAAAACTCATGCCTTGGACGCAACTGTCATAGTCATTGCGTCCTCCAAAAGAATTGAAGTTACATGTTTTCAAAGGAAACAAAAAAAAAATTTGATTCGTTCCTTGAACAACCAGATGATTTCTAACATCAGGTTGACTTGCTTAGCAACCGACATCACGCTGGTGTGACGGTTCTAACATAACTCGATCCAATTAGCTTCATAAACCGTTCATGTTATTTACAACTTGAGGTTTTGAGTTTGAATAAAACTCAAACATACAGCAACCTGTTTTCCATTGCGTATTCTTCTTTTGGTCGTCAGCCAGGGCATTACGGGAAGTCAGCATGGAAGAGAGTTGATCACTAAAGTCGGTTCATTGCAAGACTGCGGTCACCATCTTGAAATTTAAGCAAATTTCACTCCTTTTGTGTGCAAACTAAAATCGCCCAAATAGGCCCAGCTTAGTTCCCCGCGAGCAAAATACGGCATCTTCTTCTTCGTCATGAGGGCAATAAACCCCACGTCCTTTGATCAGTATACAGCCAAATTCATGAACAAATCTAAGCGGAAAGTGATAATAAGAAATCGTATGTATGACAACTGCGACATACATGAAGTGGAAAAAGCCTGATACCTTGCAATATAGTCACAGCCCGAACTACAAAATAATGTTCAATTTTTTTCAGTCCCTTGCACAAGCTTAATTGCACTGTATTCAACAATTTAAGCGCTCGTTATGTTTGCGGAATGTCAAGATTATAATAGAAAAAACAGAGAACCAGTAACATGAAATGAAGCAGGTAATTCTCTTGTTAGGGAAACTGTGGCGTCACTCAGGTCGAGTCAAGCCTCTTGGTGAAACTAAAGCAAACATGGCAAATTTAGTCACCATTATATCAAATTATTTAGATTGAAGCTCTTCTTTAATCTGTGAATTTTTTTCTCTCAGTCCTTCTGGTTTTAAGGAACAGGTCTTAAAGAGAAAAAAAATCAGTCTGTGTTTTAAACTTCAGGTCCAAGTTTCATTCGTTCCCGCAGTCTGTGTTCCAGGGTTGGTAAACCGTCCTCTTTGGGCCGAGTCCTTCTCTTGATTTCATGCTGACTGTCTCGTGACGCCTGGTTACATAGGGCACTTCACAGGACACTTACGAATATTTCGTAACTGGATAGTTGTTTTCCAGCGAGCATTGTATGATCATTGGATAATGGCGCTTAAAAGCAAGTACGCAGACATTTTAATCCCAGAAGATGTGTCCTGGCCTCAGTTCATTTACCAGAATTTTGATAAGTTTGGCGAAAAGACTGCGCTTGTAAGTATACTTCATGATTCAAGATCATTTCAGGCGACCCAGAATTTAATTTTACTTAGTTTCGCAATTCCTTGATGGTTGCGCTTTGATATTGATAATATGAGAAAGGTTAACTAGCATTAAATCTCAGAAAGTATAGATAAGGAAATGATAAATAGCCGACCTAACAACATTTGCGTACTGCAGAGTTTTTATCTTCATTAATAAGGATCGAATCAATTGATCCTCTGCATACTCCCTCATGAAATGTTTTCATAAGAGATCGTTTTATCGACTTTCATTCAATCTTCGAAGCTGTCTCCCCAAAGGGAATCTAAAACAGAGCATAAAAGTATTCCACATTTAGCACAATCTGTCTGATAGCGAAGATTTTGAATCAAAAGGCCATGGTCAATTTGTTCATATGCAAATAAATTTCTATTTACATCTATACAGTATATCTATCTATCGGGATCGATCTGTGTCTATTTATATTTCTATCTAGTTTAAAGGCAAACTGTCTTCTAAAAAGTGGAAGTTTCGAACGATCGCTTTTTAACCTTTCAGTTTAAATGAAACTTAAGCTTACATGTCACTTCTTAACTTGTCACGCAAGTTACGTGACGAATGTTGTTTGGGTCACAACATACGAAGCATTTTCAGCCTGCCGTTGCGTGATGCCTTGCGCTGTGCGAGCAATTTTCTCCACAAACCTTTGAAACTGGTTTCAATCTTTTGCGGCCAAAAGGGTATGGAGCCTCAGTTTTTAAGCTTATACAAAAGAAGTCTTATTGGAGGCAAAAATAATGAGGTGAAGGGATCTTCATTTCACAGAAGTATTAAGTTTCTTTATGTTTGCGTTTCAGTTGTACTTTGGATTAACTTTTTTTCTACTCACAAGGTGGATGCTCTGTCTGGGCGTTCCTACAGCTACAAACAACTTAAAAACTTGACGCAAAGATTTAGTTCAGCATTGGCCAAACGTGGCTTCAAGAAAGGAGACGTCCTGGCCATGTTCCTCCCAAACGTCATCGAATATCCCATAATTTTCTACGGCACTGCTTTTCTGGGTGGCGCAGTCTCGACTGTCAATCCTTTATACTCGTCCCAGGAATTAGCGCGCCAGCTGCGAGTATCAGAAGCAAAATACATTGTTACCATTCCCCCACTGGCGGAAAAGGCCAAAGACGCTGCCGCTTTGGAAGGAATTCGTTCTGTAATTGTTGTCGGTGAGGCGCCAGGATGCGAGCCGTTGTCGTCCTTTTTCGCTGACGATGGAACAGCTTTTCCGGAGTTTGTGTCTATCAATCCAAAGAAGGATATCGTTGTACTGCCATTTTCGAGTGGAACGACAGGATTGTCCAAAGGTGTCATGATAACACATCACAATCTTGTAGCTGGGCTGTCCGTTCTATTTTCGTGTGATGTCTTCCCCGCGGATTCAGCTGTCTTAACTTTACTCCCATTCTATCATATCTACGCCCTGCTTTGCATGATGGGAGGATGTTTACAACTTGGATGTAAGGTTGTGGTCATGATGCGCTTTGAACCTGACTCATTCCTGAAAGTTATGCAAGATTACAAGGTTGGTTTTCGTTTACTGCAGTGACAACCTATATTATCTTTCACTTGTGAGATTCATTTGCGCCCCTCTCCCCTCCCCCCCCCCGTCTCTGACTGGGTGGTCAATAGGCCCCGAGTACCGCGCGTGCTCGCAGACTTGAGCCCCATAAAAAAACTAGAACGAAAGGAAATAAGAAGGCTGCAAATGCAACTAAGACGTGTTCACCTCATTTAAAACCGAGAGGTTAACACTCTGGGAGCGCACAGGGAAATTTTCTATTTTACCCAAGATAACTTATTTAACTTATGGTATTTATTATCCAGGCAACTCTAATTCCTCTCATTCGCCATTTATCCGTGACAGATAACAGACGCCCCACTTGTTCCTCCGCTCATTCTGTTTTTGGCCAAGCATCCACTGGTGGATAAGTTCGACTTGTCAAGCTTGGAGCGTGTGAACTCAGGGGCCGCGCCTCTTGGCAAGGAGCTGGAGACAGCCATGTTAAAACGGCTTACTCAAGTCAAGAGAATAAGACAAGGTTAGAAAACGGAAGAAAATTCAGCCAAAAGGATAAAATAAGGTCCGAATTACTTACAGGGGACCGTACCTTTGCAAAAGACAGCAGGTCTACCTTAGAGACGTGTCCTCTTCTGAAGAGCCTGAAAGGGGTATCTGAGCAGGGTCCCTCGGCGCATATGAGTACCCTCAAGAAAAAGGCATGGCCCAGATTAATAAAAAAATCTCGCATGTTCCCCAAATTCAATAATGACACTACTAATTTCGTGCTAAAGACACCGGGATTAATCCCTGATTATCCAACCACACTAAGTAGAGTACAAATAACGCTTGAATGGAGTAAAAATACCCGCGATGTTGTACACTTGCCTTCTCTTGTGCCGTATTTAACAAGCGTTCAATCGTTCTTGGTTCTCAGCCTTCTGCTCCTCAAGTTCCGCCAGTAATTCCTGCGAAGCGTCGTCGCCATGTGATTGAGTCGGATGATGAAAATGAAATGTAGTTTTGGAAATTCTTTTTTTGTATGCTTAGAGCTCACCCATGTCTTTGAGAGTTTTCCTTTCGGTGGATTCCCTGCGGGCTCGTCAAAATACGGCACAACTCGTAAAATACTCAGCGGTACTAAATACCAAAACGTCCAATAAGATATGTTTATTATCGGTTATTTGGTCTCTATAACTAATGATGCAAACTATTTTTACATTTGCATGACTATCGTTTCGCGTTTTTTTTCTTTTCTTTATCGTAGGGTACGGTATGACAGAACTCTGTGGAGCATCCCATTGCACTCCAGCTGAAGGTAAAACCAAATTTGGATCCGTTGGGCTACTACTGCCAAACCTGCAATGTAAGGTGAGCTCATCGATAGCTTCTCTAAGGGAGATAACACAGCATTGTTTAACCTCTAACATGAACCATCCACACAATTCCATAAAACACATTTAGTAAGTGAGATTTAACATCAGTGTTGTTACTTTGTTTTCTTTTTATGTCAATAGGTCATCAGTCCTGAAACTGGAGAGATTCTCGGTCCAAACCAGGATGGAGAAATCTGTGTGAAGGGTCCCTTGGTTATGATGGGTGAGAATTTTATCACACGGAAATCATAGATGGCTTGATAAGTGCACTGTTGTTGATGTAGTTAAACCTCGTTGAGAAATTTTTATTGGCACTACCTCGTCCCCAGCCCTCTTTCATGCTGTTGCCCTTGGCCTTAGGGAGGAGGGGGTGGGCTGCTCGTCGGGAATGAAAGAAAAGAACATGGGAACGATGTAGCAACGTCAGCGATTTCTAAGACTGACAAAATTTCCAGCACTTTATTGTCTTTAAAAAGTGCTAGTTATCTTTATCATAATTTTTTAACTAGTAAAGAAACGCTTTAGTGATCAGTAACTGTTGATTAACTTGCTCGTGGCTGCTGTGGAAGGCGATGTGTGAAAGGCCGAGATTATTTTCTTCGCTTAGCGTGCAGAACAAGCAAAAATCTTTTGTTTCTCAGTCTATCAGAGGCAGTGAAAGCGCAAAAAAAATTCTGTCTGTTCTGTAGGCTCAACTGGGCGGAATTTTCTTTCAGGATATACAAAAAACCCAGAGGCCACTGCAAAGACAATTGACAGTGATGGCTGGCTTCACACAGGAGATATTGGACATTATGATGAGGATGAACACTTCTTTATCGTCGATAGAATAAAGGAACTTATAAAATACAAGGGATTTCAGGCAAGTTCTGCAACTCATAAGAAAAAGCTGGCGCTTATTAATATTAATTTATTCTTTATATGAAATTCCAATGGGTTAAGTAACGTAAATCAGGTTATTAATTAGATCTATTTTGTCTTCCGCACCGCACTCCAGGTTCCGCCGGCCGAACTTGAAGCTTTATTGATTTCCCATCCAAACGTTGACGACGTGGCTGTCATCGGCGTCCCCGATCTCGAAGCCGGAGAGCTCCCGAAGGCTTTCGTGGTTCGTCGTGGTTCTGTGACGTCAGAGGAGATAATGGAATTTGTGGCTAAAAGAGTGATACCACAGAAAAAGCTCAGGGGTGGTGTGGAGTTTATTGATCAGATACCAAAATCACCTAGTGGAAAGATACTACGTCGGGTGCTAAGAAATCGCGAGACAGAACGGCTCAACACAGCAAAGTTATGAAAGGTTTAACCTTAAATCTCTTCACACGTGATATTTCGTCCAACTGGAAGAAGCTGCTTTGAATCGTAACTGACGTCACGACGACGTAGTCCTATAGCAACCTCGTTCCCAGGGTCCTCTCTTTTCCTCCCTGAGGGGAGAAGACCCTGGTAACAATGTTGGCCATATGGATGTGGATACTTTTTAGTGTCTCAGATTGGCTGTTGTTTAGTTAAGTTTTTGATATGATTTTTATAGAAGTTGCTGGCACCATAGGAAAAATTCAGCCATTCCTAACTGCAAAAATGCTGGTATTTGAAATAAACAAACTGAAAGCCATGATGTGATTTTCTTGATTACAAACAAAAATCCCCTTCCCAGCTACAAACGTCAAACATTTCTTTAAACCACAAACAGAAGATTGTTCTGATCCCAGGAGACACTCCCATAGAGGAGGATATGGGGTTCAGCAAAAATTGATTCTCTAATCTCCTCCTCTATCTTCACACCAAATAAGCTTACATTATTTTCTATTTATCTATTGGAGCACAAGGTCTATGAAGGATAATTTTGACAACACAACAAAGAAACTGCTCAGTTAGCATCAAGTTGATGGTAATTTCCAAGTGAGGGAAGCATCTGAACATTGAAGCAATTATGAACCATCCAGGGTGACTAGAAGGTGACTGCGATTGTACTGAGCACCTTCAAGGAGATCCTCACCAATCAGGTGTAAATCCTCGTTTGGGTATTTTTAATTAGGTGCTGGAGCGAAAAACCCTGACACACCACAGAGAAAGAAATCAGTCTAAAATGACACTTTGTGTTAACTAGAGAACTCTCAGCATCAGATTCCCTCCACATGAGTGTAACAGAACAAGTTATTAAAATGTCTACACATTTTTCATTCTGAGAACAAGTTAAGATGTTCTAAACCAGTCATGCAACAGGTAAAATTCATTTCTATGTAATCGGTTTTTATTGAATTAGGGTTGTTACCAAACAATCAGATCCAATCATCCTGCTGTTGACAACATTCAGCATACAGTTGGTTGAGTTTGTATTATCAGTTTCAATGCAGTCTCTGATCCCCCTCCTGTGGTTGCTTATTTTTCATATGCAGTCTAGGTCAGTCACCACAGATGTGAAAGGGTCACTGGGAAGGGGGAGGAGAGAGAGGAGATTCACCCCCTTCCCATCTTCCCTCACATGCACCTCACCTCTTGCATGCTTCCCAAAGGACTGGGACTGAGTCAGATGCAGTCTTGTGACTGACAAGCTTAGTGCCTTTCATCTTTCTTAACTCCCTTGCAAGGAAAAATCCCCACCACCATTTGTTCTTTGATATTTAAGGTTCACAGAAATAATTATCAATCAGCAACTTTTGATTTCTTTGTTGCATGACTCAGCTCTTCAGTGTCCTCAAATAACTCATCAAATGTAGATATCACTTTAAAGTCCCTTTTATCTTCATCTGTCAATGGTGCATTGCCAGGCCGAACACTGATAGCAGTTCTGTATCCTGCCTTAAATGCTGCTCTTGATTCTGGGTAGAAATAAATTAAATTAAATTAGAACAAGGCATTTACCTAAAGATTAAATTGTTCAAGTTTAATAGGTAGCAAGTGACATTCAGTATTTCTATTTTGAAAGACTAATTTTGAAAATGGATCTCATGAGATTTCCTTGAGCCACAATTCCTATGAAAAAAAAAAAGAAGGAGGAGGGGTGAAGGGGGTACATTTCATGGACATCAATTCATCTCACATTCTGTGTATGTTTTGTAGAAGACAAATAAATTAATACAAAATTAATATAATGTTAATAATTCTGGCTTAACAACAGCTTCTCGTGACTGATGAGCACTTAAGCTCACTCCAGAGACCCCTCCCTGGTTCAACCGTAAGGTCAACCTAACACAGAGCCTTTTGTGCCAACCCTCCTTGAAGAGGTCACACAGTCTACCTCAAAGATCAAGGCCCAGCACAGGAGACCCAATTACGGTGATCAATTTAAATATTGCTATTAGTGGAATGCATACCTTTAACAATATCAGTGATAAATAGAATTCTTGAGGGTTTCATATCTACTGCATCAGCAATTTTACTGTAGCTCTCTGACTCAATTTTAGCTCCAACTGTGGTGTCAAAATGTCCACTTATATACTGTGAAACAACAGGAGGGCAAAATTTAATTAGTATAGGAAACAACATGATTTTGAGTGCAATTTGGTGTCAATAAGTAAGAGAAAATTGTAGCCTCTAAAATTTGTGCTTATTTACTCCATTGCATTGTTACTTGTTAATAATTTCCATGAAAAATGCATCATAGAAAGTCAGGACAGATTATTTGAAATCTACACTTGTGTTACAGCTTTGCACATGTTATATGAAAAATGCACTAATTTTCAGCCAATCACATGCATGTAATTTTTTCATGTATGTTAATATTTATCACCATAACACTAGTTCATCTCTATATTTGTATTGATTTAACCCTTTGAGCCCAGAGAGCATCTAATTTCTCCTTACAATATCACTCACAAATCACACATTAAGGCTATGAGAGTAAAGGAAATCATCACCAACTAAAGAAGCTCTGGATTGTTGAACAAATTCTCTTTGTCTGCACCTTAGGAAATGTTTAGAGAACAGTAGAGAGAATATACAAACTGATGTTAGTGTTAAATTATTTTTTCAATTTTATGAATTTTTAAGGTAAACCAACAAACTAACCTGTAAAATGTTGCCAAACTTAGAGTTACCAAACAGAAGCTTTTGAGAGTCTGTGCTTCCAGATGAGTATATATAAATTTTGATTTTGTTTGAAGTCCATCTTTTGAATGCTGTAACAACATCATCAAACACCCTGCAGTAAATCAGGAAAACACACTTTGATTAAGAGTTTAATCAAATGAGAAAAACCCTTTCTGTATTAAAGTGGTTTACAACAGTGTGACAGTCATAAACTTCTCAAACTTCAAAATGCTACAAAAAAACTCTGAAATATTTTGGTAGTTTAGAACAAAAAGTAATCATCTTCAAATTGCTTGAAATTCTTTAGCAACAACATGGAACATTGTGTTACTTACTCTCCTTTAATAACACCATCATTAAATGCTTTTCTCCAAATATGGCCTTGGAGTTGTTTTAAGGCAGTTGTTTTTCTATCTGAATTCATCTGCCAGATGACATTTGCAACAACAGCATCCATGATGGTTTCCTTACTGAAATAAAACAAACAAAATGGTTGCACTGCACATGGTTGAAGCTTGTTCACCACAACTACAACCTTTGGAACAACAACCAATTACAATTTTACCAAAACACGCACAGGGTCATTGAAAAACTAAAGTTCAGGTGAAGCAGGCCTGTTGGGATATACATGCTTTTATGATCACTGTGATTGAGAGCTTGTAAGTGCCTGTGGCAGAGAGATGGCCATGCAGTACTGGATGTTTGACTGTGCTATAATCTTATACTTGAAGTATCAGCAAATTAAATAAATGTACATACCTTGTCCGTGAATTATCTTCAGAAAGATTCTCCTCTTCATCTGGAATTAAAACAATATCTTCCATATCTTTGTCTTTCTTGGCCTTGGAATTGTAAAATATTCATGTAAAATCAGTTTGTTTTGTGCACTTATAGTTCCAGCTTGCAGTCAGTGTGACTAAATCTTTAACCCTTCAACTCCCATGAGTGACCAAGACAGAATTTCTCCTCACAATATCAATATCAAGCAGACAAATGACAAGAATAAAGAAAAATGTCAATAAGGGGATTATAAGTTGACTCAATACCAAATTCTTTGAACTTCAGTCAAACAAGTTGTACAGCTGACAATAAGAAGAAACACTAATAAGATCTTGGATTGATACATGATTGTATAGTCTAAAAAGTATTTTGACTTCATTAACCATACACATTACAAACAAGCCTGTCTGATATATGCTACACACAATGCAATAAAATTCTATATGATACCTGATTTCTCAAAGCCTTCACATCCTCTTGACACTGATCAGTTCCCCAAGATTTCTCTAAAAAGGCACGTACATTGTCCCTTGCATATGGAAAAAGAACATCCTGTCGGACAAAACAGAAGCGAACTCATCATCATTACTAAGCTAAATGTTTTGAAAGAAATAGGTGCCATGCTGTCTCAAATAAATCATTTGTTTCCAAATCCAGTCCAAACTTTTCTTTTTAGCGTGCGTGGCTGAATTTCAAATCACCTGTGGTCCACGTCACGCGAGCTTGATCCTTCGGAATACTTGTTCATATCCAGCAAATTTACCAGCAGGCTTGTATAATTTTAGGGATTTTGCATGAGCTACCATTCTTGCTGTTTTTAAGGAGGATTTTAAATTTGATACAATGCATGCTTTACCAAATTAAATTTCTTACTGATATATAGAGAAGTGTGCCCACATTAGTATCAAGTACCTTGACAAACGAAATTGGCGTTGTTGTTCCTTCAATATCCAGTAACACAACGTCGTAGTCAAACTTGTTTTCCAAGGAGCCCTCTTTTGAACCCGTTTTTTGATTTTCCATTGGACCCTTATGATCTACTTCTGCCAGCAAAATAATTACTTTTAGGACTTTTAGGCACCTCTTGTGAGGTCTTCTTCTCCTATAGGTTGTATAAGACTACCTGAAATGTCCCTTAATCGTTCCATCCAAGGAGAAGTCGGCCTAAGGAATATCAAGCGTTCGAAATCAGACACAACTCTCCAAAATCAGAGCGAAGAGTACGAAGTCGATCAGAGACTTCCAAATTTGGACGTAACCAAAATCAGACGGTAGCGTCCGAAAATCGGACGCAACTGTCCGAGGACAGATGGAAGCGTTCAAAATCAGACGGAGGCGGCCGAAATCGAACGCAGGCGTCTGAGGTCGGACGGAAGCGTAAAAAATCAAAGGAAAGTTCCAAATCGATTTTGTTGAGTTTCATCAGTATTCAAGATTTTGAAGTCTTAACAATCTAAATGACAACTCTTTCGTCTTTTGATCTTTATATATATATATATATATATGTTCAAGATGAGTATGTTTTTATTTGGGGACGGGGGAGCGCAGTAGGACATCCCATGGAACGGCTGTAAAGGATTTAGTAACAGTCATATGTTTAAGGTACAGCAACGACAATAGATTATATCTTAAAAACATCTGTGGTTTTTATTACATTTAAGCAGCAGATTGTAGGTCGTATCACACGAATACACCATGTATCTTAAGTAATTCAAGAAGTAAGAAATTTATTTAATTCCTCAAGGCACTTCTGTGTCTTTGGATGAGATAAAATTCCTCCAGTATCAGAAGGTTTTTTAACTGCATGAACTATTGCATCAATTCTGTTCGTCAGAGGAGAAGCAATTCCTTCTTCCAGTTTTTCTTTTAACAAGGCGATTACAGCAATTCCAACAAGTCCTCGATAAAAGTAATTAAAATTTGCAGGAACGTTCCAGTTATTTAGCATGAGATTCTCAAGGAATAAGAGACAATTTTCCAACTGCTCTTTCAAGGAGATAGTTAGTGTTGATTTATGTTGCTGAAGAATCAATAGAGCACATCCGTTTTTCCGTTCCAATCCACATTTTACAGTTTCCCAGGCCACTCGCGTCACAACACAATCCTCGGAATAAATGTTGAGAGGTCCTTTTTCAAAGAGACGATCCATGTCTGAAATGAGAATTGCCCGATCAGAGTCTTCACTGTCACAAACCAGGTCGCCACAAATCCAGTCCAACATCCACGACACACAAGCCACAGGTTCTTCATCAAAGAACAAGGACCACACACAAAACATGGCATTCTCAAGTGAGAGAGGAGCAACTACGGCAAAACTTCCAAAGGGTAAGGTACAAACTGCAACACACAGAACAAAATTTATAAAAAGGTTTTCAGAAAAAAATCTTAGGACGGGGGGGCACAGATGGTGGAGAGATGAGAATGCTCGCTTCTAACCGTAGAGGCCTGGGTCCGATTCCCGATCCTGACGTCACAAATAAACTAACTTTGTTGTTGTTTCCTTGTCTTTCAACAAGGGTGTTTTCTACGGGTAATGGGGTTTCCCTTCCTTGTAACAAACAAAAAAATCAAAAAAGGAAAAAGCAGAGACACCGGACGATAAAATCCACTTGGTACACGTCCGAAATATGATTTGGTCATCCGACGTTCGATTGAACAAAAAGTTCAATTTCTTCACTTACCCACAGTCGAGGTCTCGATTACTTGTAACAAAATAGAAAACCCGTAAGACATTTTGTCTCTGACCAGAGGCTCATCGTCCTGAAGTAGAGTTATAAGAACAGTCCACAGACGAAAGCGCACGTCACCTTAAAGGAAAGAGGAAAAAATATTATTGACAGGATCAATGCGACATCAATCCTGATCCCCCCTCCTCCACAAAGAATAAAAGTTTACATCTTGACTGGAAAAACGTTGGAAAAAGCTTTGTCTTTACGTCGCCAACTGAAGTCTTGATAGTGCATATTTTACCTTCACATGTCGTTTTTATACCCCACCCAAACGAAACAACTAAATCGCATTCACCGCAATAGACATAAACAAGCAGTCCTGATGGTATGGAACTCCAAATAACGAAGGTGATTTGTCTTACTCACTCAAAGTTGTACCTAAATCCACCATCACACCGATAACTGTTGTATCGCCCAGGACCTGTGCTGTGCATAGCCGCAGCTCCATTCTTTCAGAAGGTGAACTCGTATGCAGAGTTATATTTGAGAATTGTGAAAGGGCTTCTGATGCTTCCATAGCAATGGTTGGGTCCTAAAAGGTAAAGTAAAATACTTTTTAATCACCTCTACCCCTGAGTTCATCCTGTGAACGAGATGTTCAGTATTAATGGTATAAGTATTACTTTTTGTTCCGAACAAAAAGTAATACTTACACCATGAATACTGTTCATGGTATAAAGACGTTATTTGAACACGATATTTCGATGAGTATGAGACTTTGACTCGAATCAACAACAAGTTTTGTAGAAGATTGGAGGCCATATTCAAAGACCAATCTGGTTAATTCTCGCCACAAAGTGATCTCGAGAGAGCACAGTGCTTTTTAGAGCGGTAACTCATGTAACTTAAACTATCCTTTGTTCTCAGACACCAAAACTGAGACAGTCCTTTCCCGTGCCAACAGCAGAGGTCCCTTTAGAACTCTGATATTCACCTTACATATGACTGTGGTTACCTCACTTTTGGTCATTCCATGTACTACAGAAACCATCCTGGACAAAAACGTTAACAGCGAGCACTTGAGATCATCCCTAGGGAAATAAGGAAATTCCTTGTAAACATCACGCAGTAAAGTAGAAGAGGGAAAAAAGTTACATCGCGTCACGATTTCTCCAAAAGAGAAAGCTGTTATACGTTTGGTTATGAACGTGGGACAAATAAAAATCTGGTCCCTCCACAAGTAAATAAACCCCAGACCTAGGGATTTTCGCTCCGATGCTCGACCACTGGGCTGCCGAGAACTCCATGGCGAGAGGGGCCACAACAAAGTGCTTATGCAACAAGCGTTCTGCATTATGCTGGGATCTTAAACGATTCACAGTTCACAAAAATTGAGTTACGATTATAAAATATTTAAAACTGAATATGTAACTCATGAAGACTAAATCCAGTATATATTAACCAATGTCTCCGTTGCCACCCGAGGAGAGCTTGATTGGTCGAAATTTGCATTGAAATATAAAACGTTTATTGGGCTGAGGCCAACAGAAATCATGCAGTTTTGTTAATTCCAAAAGTAATACGTCTTAGTTACCTTTGACTAGGTGAGGTAGCAAGGTCTGCAACGAATTTCCAGCACTAAAGAAAAACAAATAGCATCCTATTGGTATAACGTAAGATTATTTTACAATAGATCCATGAAAATGTGTTGTATAAGGCTATAACTATCTCACCTCAAAAAACCATGCGAAGAAATAGGTTAAATTGCTACTACCCGCAGAAATCCCATATAAATTCGAACTCACAATGTGAGGATTTGTGTTTTAGCCATGAAGGTAGATTTTCTATTCCGAACCTGACTTTGAATAATTTCATCTTTCAAATGGGGAACTGATCATCTTCTCTTGATAAAATTGTTTTCACTTAACATTCACCCACCTGAAAACAAGAGACTTTATCTCCTGAAGACAGTTTCCAAGGGAAAGACAAGGAGTCTGGAAGTTTGTATAAGGCTTGAAAGACCTGTTAATCAAAAAGTGGCATCGGTAGATAAAAACGTAACAAGTAATTTGAAAAAACCAAACAATAGGAAAGACAACAAAATTTTCCAGTGTCCATTTCCCGTCTAGCACAAGCATAATACTGTAACAGCGAAAAGTCAAAAGGCTGTTGGAAGATGAAAAAGTTACGGTTTAATCACTGTATTGTAACCCCCGCCCGCTTTAATAAATGAATATTGTGCCCGGGAAACAGAATTTTTACCTACATTACAGATAGCTTTAGGTTCTAAAACCGTAGACTGGGCTGAGCAGAAGCACCAGCAACTAAATTAGCTGTGATACCCTCCTAAACCTCCCGAGAAACATTTGTTTATTCTGGACATCACACTATTTTGTGGTTTTCTTCCATGTCGAGGGATTCTTGTGTGTCGTATACAGCAATTCAAGATCTTCTGAGATTTCCTGAGTTGTTACCTGTACTAAACAATCATCATGATGTTCTGACTTCACAGCCATTGTAAACAACTGGCTTTTTATATTTTCTTCAAGTTCCAAAAATATCCAGCGATGTTCTCTTTCATTAGGGGTATTCTCTTCTAATTCAGCTTTAGTCTCAAAGTCAGTGTTCTCTTTAGAGGGCAAGTGAGAGACGATGAATTGAAGTACAACCAGTCGCACTTCGTATTCTGAAGACTGTAGGAGATGTTGAATCACTTCAAAACAATTAGCCGTGGTTACCAAGTTTTCAGCAGAGCCCTGGTTATCACCCTGAGCCTGTGATGTTACTGGTATGCGAGATTTGCTGTTAGGAGCAGATGGTAACTCCTCGCACGCTTTGAGAAATATCTTGGCTGCTGACTTCTTTACAAAAACGTCTCCAATGACGGCTGAGGACGTTTGATTTTTCACAGTTTCCTCAATTGCTACGCATTCAAACCATTGCTTCAGGCTAAGCAAGCCATTCTTAGATACGTCTGAAATAAAAGCAGTAGAGAACGCCACTCATAAATATTTGTAAGGTGTTAACAACGCATAAGTGGTGTGCTCCAAGATGCATTTATCTGTTACTTGTCGTGGATAAGTTTTGAATGGCCGAGATTAAGTCGATCAGTGTAGATATCTCGAGGAGTTGGGACACTGTCGAGTTGATCAAGGTTAACTTTTATACATTGACTGCACTGCCTGAAAACAGATGGGTACCTTGACTAATCATGGGCCAATATGCTGACGCATCTTAACATTTTAATCATTTCAAAAGAGGTTTTGAGTGAAAAGTAATAGAAAAAATACCTGGGAGATCGATCCAAGACCAGTCCACTACAAAATGAAGAACAATGTCCAAGAAAACTGACCTTGACACTGCACAGGGGTTGGACCTGCACGAAAGAAAGACAAAAAAGGACAAAACAAGAGAGAGTCTTACAGAGAAATTAAGAGACATAACGAAACGTACCTCCACGATAGAAAAACCACGTATGCAAGCAATTACTTGCAAGTAGGTTTTCCGTGAAATCTTTAATAACTCTTGCTAACTCTCTTTAGTAAATTAAAGGATTTCTCAGGCCCGAGTCTGTAAAACATTAATAATTGTCCAAGATTTGATCAACAGTAAAGAATACGCAAAGTAAGGTTTCTTTTAGTTCTTGAGTAAGACACTTCCATGCACAGTGCCACTTTCAACCTATGAG